GCTTGGCTAGTTTTTAGTACTGCTCATTATTGCTCTCGCCTGTTTCCAATCAGTCTAAGCCTGCACTGACCGGCCCAGAGATTGAACTCACAATTATACTATCACCAAATTCATGAACTACCGCCTTAAGCCATTAGGTTATTGTGTGTAGAACTTTAAATCTAATTTGCTTGCTACTGACAAAGCAGCTGCTGTTGCCTGTCACGCTTGACGACATTCACCGAGCCTCCTTTTCTCTTACTATTGTTATCAATTTACTAATAAACAGAAGAAAAACAGACGAAATCAAAGAAAGTTCACTTCACCCTTTCGCTAATCAATAAAAAGGAACCAATTCTCGGCCTTATCTGACATATTATTTTATTCTTCTTCTCTTGAAGTCATGACCTTATAATCACTTAACTGCATCCCTTTTGAGTGGAACACAGTTCTTACTTTGTAAAACTTTTGCCTTATTAATGTTGCAATACCTAGTTTTGACTTCCATATAGAGTGTTTGCTTAGTATTATTTTGCCCCGTTCTTTTTCTTTCTTTTCTTATTGTTTATTGAGAATTTTGTCAATGACACTTCTCTGTGTTCACTTATTCCACAAAGGAATTTAAGGAAAAAAAATAATTAAATAATAAATTCTACTGAAAAATTGTTGGCAATTCTTCATCTACGAAAATGTGTTGAAAACGCGGATCTGACCCAAAATTGGGATTTATTTTGGATTTCCGCTTTGATCGGGTCAAGAATTTTTCATCGCCTACCACGTAAAAAAAAAGAATCTCAAAATGTATTCTGTTAACACTGTAGACTCCCGTGGGTCTACAGCCTCGCCTTGCAGCTGTGGTTTTCGTGGCAAGTAGGTCTACAACCTAACAGAAATTAATGCATTTTTTTTTCATTTTAACTGATGAAAAAAGTATTCGTACAAAACAAAAAAAAAAGCATATTAACTTAATTTAATGCTTTGTGGAATATCCTTTATTGAGTTCAACAGCTACCAGTCTATTCCTGTACGTCTCAACTAATGATTCTTCTTGGCATATTGTCTTCAAATTCTTGATATTTGTTGGTGCTCTTTTCCCAATTTGAATTTTCAAATATCGCGATAAATTCTTGATTGGGTTCAAGTCTGGGGACTGTCTTGGCCATTGCAAGACATCAACGTTACTTTCAGCTAACCATTTCCTAGCGGTATGCTTAGGATCATTATCCAGTTGGAAAACCCAATCAGTGGGTAGCCGAAGTCTCTTAACGGAATGCATTAAATTGTCTTGTAGGAATTTCTGGTATCTTTCGGCATTCATCTTGCCATCTATTATTGATATTCTGCCAACACCTTTTGCAGAAAAACAGCCCCAGATCATGATACTGCCACCACCAAACTTTACAGTTGGCAACGTGTTCTTTGGTAAGTTGGCTTCACCGTCCTTCCTCCACACATGATTTTGATAATTATGACCAAACAACTCTATTTTAGATTCATCTGTCCATAGTACTTTTTCCCAAGATGAATATTCTTGATCCTTATGCTCTCTAACGAATTTTAGCCTAGCATCTCGGTGTCGTTTCAAGAGGAGTGGAGTCTTCCTTGGGATGCGTGATTTCAGACTGTTTTTGTGTAGATCATTACTTATTGTACGCTTGGTTACTTTAATCCCTAATGCACGCAGATGTTCCTGCAGCTCTTTTCGGGTAACCTGTGGATTTTGTTGGATCTGGCGTCCTAATATCCTTGCTGATCTGAAAGAAATCTTCCTCGGAGCACCTGTTCATCTTTGGTTTTCGACGCTGTTACGAGTTTTAAACCTTGCAATGGACGAAGCAATTGTAGTAAAAGGAATATTTAGGTTGTTAGAAATCGTTCTGTAACTGTTCCCATCTTTCCAAAGAGACAAAATGTGTTGCTTTTGTGAAATAGTCAATTCTTTACCTTTAGGAATTATTAGAATCTTCTCGTAAGATAGAAATTGCAGAACGCTCTGATAATGGCTAATAGCGTTAACTATAATTACTGATAACATTACTGGAACATTCTAAAATATACTTTTTTTTATAATTAATTGATTATTTTATTCTAATAATTGATTTGTAAGAATACTTTTTCACCAGTTAGAATTTTTTAAATAGTATATGTCTTTATAGATAAAATGTGCCGAGATTTGTTTTACTTAAGGCTTTTACATTTACAAAAATACAATTTTTTAAGTGTACGAATATTTATTTCCCCCCACTATATATATATATATATATATATATATATATGTATATATAAACATAAAACATTAGGCAGCATATAATTTACATACAAAGAAATAATCACACATAGAATCAATCAGAGGTATTAATGCGATTATTGGCGACATCCATCGCTAGAAACATAATATATGCATTAAGATACTGTTAATCCATAGAGCGAAGTGATCCTCGTCGATAAACTTGATGTCTGTAGTTTTCAGTTTATTTGATGTTAAAATGCTAGTACTTACGAATAGTCCTCTATTCATCATCAGACATGTGTTTTTTTCTTATAAAATCAAAAACTTGGAGACGAAATACTTGTATGTCGACCGAAAGATGTTTTTTGAATATCTGCTATTATTGACGGTTGTGTAAGATCTCGGAACGTACAAAGACGCAACGCGAAGTTTTTCAAAATTTTAAATGAGAATTTTATTTAAATATTTCTTGTGATGTGTTAAATCCACGTATTCTATTTTTACAAGTGTATTCAGTTTTTATGTCATGAACTAAGCATATAGTTCAATAATATAGTGTAATGTCTTAGTAGATTTTTTTATAGGAATTTTTATGTACTGCGGATCGATAGTTTTTTATAAACATAAAACATTAGGCAGCATATAATTTACATACAAAGACATAATCACGCATAGAATCAATCAAAGTATTAATGCGATTATTGGCGACATCAAATATATATATATATATATATATATATATGGATTAACAGTATTTTAATGCATATATTATGTTTCTAGCGATGGATGTCGCCAATAATCGCACTAATACTTCTGATTGATTCTATGTGTGATTATTTATATATATATATATATATATATATATATATATATATATATACGTGTTTAACGTTAATCTCTGCGAGCCTGCGTTGCTCTGTAAGGGTAAAGAACTACCACGTGTTCTTCCTCTTGGCTATTGCTGGTCCACGAGACGATACACCGTAAATCCGTAAAAACTGAAATTCACCATTAAGACATCTTGTGTCACTTTATCATTTTTTTTTTTTGAGTTTGTTTCAAATTCTTATTGTTTCTGTTTATCAAGTGTTTTTCTTGTTTGTCTAGTTTTCAAAATGTATTTTCTTTTTCATTTCTCCTTTTTGAGAGTGAGATATTGTTACTTGTTTCTAGATTTCACGATGTATTTCCTAAATATATGTATAGAATAAGTATAACGCGTTGGCCTTTTTCGTTTAGAACGGCGCTCAGTTAAACTTCCAACCAGGTACAAGTTTATTTATTCTGGTAAAATAAGATTCTAAAGTTCTGGAGGCGACGAATTCTTTGAAGGCATTTTTTTTTTTAGCACTGTTTAGTTACAGATAACTTTTCCTTACAAGAAGTTGTTGAAGTGATAGTCTGTAGGTGAGAGGTCCGATGACTGCTGGATGAGGCAGAGTTTTGGTGGCTCGTTTCGTTCAACCTTCGGGTGTTAATTGTAAATCTTGTACTCAAAAATTGTGCAAAAAGATTGGACCTTTTTATGCATTTAGTTGATGTCGTTAGTACTTCCCTGCTGTGCTTGTTTCGCCAAAGTTCAAAAAACTGCAGTGGATTAATCTGGTTGCAGACCAACAGTCAATATAGGCATCTTTTGGTGCAACTTCGCCTTTGGGAAGTATTTACGTGCCTCATCTACGTCGTATTATCGATCCAGTTTTCATCACACATCACAAGGCAATAAGAAAGAGTCGTTCTTGTCGCACATAACAGCCGAATAGCAGGTTTCATAATGGCGATTTTTCTGGGTTTCGTTAAATTCGCTTGTCACCAATTTTTCAAGATTTTTTTTCTTTTTTTTTACTTTTCAGTTTGTTTCAAAAGTTCTAGCTCTCCGGTAAAGCTACCGAACAGTTTGGAGAGAATTTGCTTCCACCAAAACCTTTCATTCTTTATCCGTGTAAGTCTGTGACCTTCCTTAATTTCAAGAGTGTATTCACCATAAAGGAATTTTTGAAACCAACTTGGCATTGTGCCTTCGTTAAACATTTTTGGCTCTAAACTTCATTGATGTTTCTAACCGTTTATACAGCTCTGAGGTCGAGTTAAAATACAAATAAATTTGGCAAACACCCTGTTTTATGATCTTAATTTCAAAGATTTGAAATTTAACAAAATTCAGTTTATATCAAACATGAGTTAGGTAGAATGAAAGCACGTAAAACAAACGTATTATAATTACACGTAATTTTGTGCACCTTGCATGAGTTTTCATGCTTGAAAAATTTTCAGCTTTATTTGATTGGTTTGTTTTTACGGCTTATAAACCTCTTGAAGATTATTTAAAGCCAAAAATTATTTTTAGATAATAGAGGTTTTGGTGGGTTAATAATGATTTCGGATACAAGTTGTTGTAAACTAGAAAATTTTAGTGAATGAGAAATAACCAAAACGGAAGTTGGAAATAGAATGATAATCTTTATGCCATCAACAAAATACAATACTCGCCAGCGGCGTTAAGTAGGTAAACCACTGCTAGGGGGTGGACTACTTAGACAGCATGTTACCCCAACTTAAAACAATGCCCAACGTATTTATGAGGGTTGGGACATACCCATGAGTGTTCATACGTACAGTATATAACACAACTCTTACTATTTAAGCCTTAGTTGGCGGGAAAACAGGTGAATCCATACTTTTCCCAAGAGTGTTTTCACGTAAGTGAATATAAGGTACCACACTGGAATTCGAACTCTCCATTTAACAATTTCAAGTCGTTATCCATTACACCACCCGCACTTTTAATTTTGCCGTACTTCGTATTCCCAAGTGGTCACCCATCTAGGTACTGACTAGGCTTAAGGTTACTTAACTTCAGGGATATATATGAGAACCAATGTTTCAATGTGATATGGCCGTAATGTCAGTTATAGGTTATCTCCTGTTAATTTTCCCTCTGAACCCAGGGACACATGGCACAGTGGATAAAGGCGTTAGTTAGATCCAGTGACATAACCCAAAGAGTGTGAGTTCAATACCCGGCTAAAGCAGTGGGGAACAGGAGATAACTGAGAACTGACATCCATTAAAAACATGGCACGTGGAGCTAGAACAGTCTACCCCAGTGAGCGAAATAAAGGGTTCAGTTCGACATTACAACCACCTGAAGAAGGACGGAGCGTACAACGGCCGAAACGTTGTGATAAATATGGCGACAAAGATGAGGACAATAGTCCGAATAATGTAAATAATGTACATAATACCTCATCTCAGAAATATAGACGGATACTTTCATGGCAATTGTGTTACATAGCAGTTCAGTTCTAAAACATCAAACCCAATACAAACTTCATTTTTATTAATCATAATTTTGAATGATCATTTTCAAGGCAGATAGATCCGTCTCTACGCTAAAAACTGGCGCACACAGTCTTCCTATAGCCCTCCTCTCTTTTCTATCACTATGTTTAGTTTTGTATCAGTCTAGTATAGGCTTATATAATACCTATAGTTAGAGGCACTTAAACATTTACGAATCGACCTGAAAGAGTAGAAACCCGCTTTGTTTTTCTTACATTGAAGTGTTGTTGGCGTTGTAGTAGTAGTAGTTGTTGTTGTTGTTGCTGGAGACTTTTCAGAATCTCCGGAGAAGCAGCCAGAACATTGACTCCTCTATTAGCGGCTATCAATAAATAGCCCCGGAGAAAGTCGAGTCGCCAGCCGACTGAATCAGTAGGGGCCAGGAAATGCAGTAAAGAAGGAACAGCGACTTCCACCCCCTCATCTTTGTGTATCCAAAATAAATACATATTCTATTCATAGTGTTATCTTGAGCTGGCTTCTGTCCCTTCTAGCCTGGCCAGTAAAAATGGATCGTCTTAAGTTAAAAAAAAAAAAATAATAGACTTTCATCATTGTCTCTGATTGCAGCCAAAATTGCATGTTTCGTCGAAGGTACGTAATTCGTGAGACTGGCTGTTGCTCGATGAGGTTAAAACGAATACCGTTTTAATAACAATGAAACTGGCTGCCGTGTCGATATAACTTATTGTAGTGGCTGTAAACGTGTTCCTTGTAGTGGCTACTTAATTCGTTACAGTGGCTATAACCGTTCTTATGTTACTCATAATTGTGGCTATACAACGACTTGTTTTTTCATTTCAATGTCTATATAACTGGTTGCTGTTGCTGTATAAATCGTATTGACTATAAAGAGTGAGTAACCATGGTCAGATGCAAAATAAGTAAAAGGGCTATTCAACAAACAGATTTGACAGAGTTTGCAATAAGAAATAACAAAAGAAAAAAAGGACAAAAAACTAATACAGCGTGACCCCAAAAAATGGGAACATTTTATCAATCCAATAAAATCAAGAGTGATGGAATAAAAATATTTTATTCATAGTAATTGAAACCTTAAAACATGCCATTTAAGAAACATTGATGGAATTTACATTTTTTTAAAATTACGTCCTGTAGATGGCGTCCTCCTGTACGAATGCATTCTTGAAATCTGCTGTTGAGATTCCTCATTGACTGCTGCAACATCTCAGTTGGGATATTGTGAATTCCATCTTGAATACTAAATGTTTGCTTGCTCAGGGTCACTGTCTCGCAGTGTTGCCACTTGCTCATGTCTGGCAATACGCACTTCAAAAATTCCCGTTTTTTGGGGTCACCCTGTATAAAGCAAGCAAATATATGCGAGTTAGATTAACAGTAATACGGCAAATCAATAGTAATATGGCAAAAAGTTCACAAACTAAGAATTGGAGTTGACACAAAAGGAATATCGGACAAGTGAATGTAGTGTTATAACTTCAAGGCAAGACAGACTGGAACTGAGTCATATGAAACAAAGAACCGGCCTATCTTATTGCCTAGGAAGAAATCTCAGCATCCATTTGTGTGCTTCTACGTTTAAATTAGGGACGGGTAATTGTTTTGTAGTCATTCCTAAATGGATCGAGACCAACAGCCTTAAGATGAACTGGCCAAATCGGTGTGGCAATAAAAAAGAAAGAAGCTTAGTAGCCCGAACAACTTTTGAAACGATAACGACACGCCTTAAAATTACGGAAGGTGTTTTAAGGGCGTCAAACTGGTCGGTCGAAACGCTGTAGAGACATCAAAAGCAACAAAGTTCTACAATTCGAACAACTCTTAGAACGACAACTAAGAATTGCAGAAGATATCTTTATGTCAACTCACTCAACGACAGCCATGTAACCTAGTACACCTGCCAGGGGAGGAGGTTAGCGGGATTAAAAACAAGACCTTTCAAAGGTCAGGTGAACCTTCTAGTGGGGTCAAAGGCCATCTAGCACAATTGGGGTAGACTAGACTTTGTACCTACGCCCAGAACCAGCGTAGAAATGACACAAACTGACAGGGCCGAGAGCTTCCTAGATTGAAGGTAATGGCTAGCGGAGAGGAGGCATTACCCCGATGAAATCAACAGCCAACTATCCGTGACCAAGGTAAGCCTTTCAATTTGAGGACGTGGTTTGACATGGAGAGGGATGGACTCCGCCAGATCTACCTCCCCATGATACGGTATGCGTGAATGAATCTGTCTCTGTTGCTTAGCTGTACAGCGACCCGACGACCATACAAGAAAAGGGGAAGAGGCCGAGCCAAATTATGTTTGTCTTTGGCTAAGACTATTATGAAAGAAAAAATGTCTGGCAAAATAAAAGGGAAAAGTTGTTTGGATAAGGTCTTTATAAATAGGGTTTTCCAACCCGTGGGAGGATGGTATTTTTTTTTTTTCGTGATCGGGGAGGGGGTTAAGAAAATGGACAAAAATAAACGAAAACAAAACAATGGCTAGATATTTTTATGCTCCGCTCCACCTGGGAGCAGACCAAGTCCAATATGTTTGAGGGACTGGAGTGAGTGAGAGAGAAAATTATAGGAATTCGTTGAAAAGCGATAACTTTGGCACGTTGCTACATTGATGAGAATGTGCTATATATATATATATATATAGCACACACACACACATATATATATATTCTCATCAATATATATATATATATATATATATATATATATATATATATATATATATATATTTCCATTACAGCCACATCACGTTGTAACATGGGTTCCCGTACAATCATCGAAGTTAAGCAACGTCGAGTTTAGTCCGTACGAAGGTAAGTGACCTCTATGAGGATATCAGGTGCTGTTATCTTGGATGTGCTGTTGGTATAATGGATGATTGCTCAGAATTGTTAATCAGAGAGCCGTGTTCCAATACCAGTTGGGTTCGTTATATTTACTCATGCGCAAAAACCCTTGGAAAAGGTATGAATCTACTTCTGCGCAGGAAGGTAAAAATGCTTTTCTTGGTACCCAGGTTTCGGAAAGCCCAAGTATTGGGCTCCTTAGCCTTCGTTAAGGCATCAAACTAGGAGAAGGAATACTATGATCTAACACCTTTAGTTTGACCGTATCCAATGGTATTGATTGGTTCTTCTTTTGGGTAGGCGCTGTTCTTGCTTAGAGAATGGAATTAACCCAATACAATATCTTTCTTTACTTTAAAAAATTATGCACAAGCATTGCTTGACAGTACAAGATTTCTTTTGCATATTGACTAGCTGGGCGTAGCCGAAAAATGCAATGAAAGCTAATGCCGGAAGTTTTAAGTTTGTCCAACTTAAAGAGCCACATCCCATATATATATATATATATATATATATATATATATATATATATATATATATATATATATATATGACATAGCCATAGCTCAATAAGATCACATTTAAATATTCATGGAGACCTACCGGACCCTATACTTGTTGACAACACAAATATAATAGCATCATCTACATGCAAAAAAAAAAAAAGGCTAAAAATAATGGAAGCCTTATTAAAAAAAAAACACTAAATAATATTAACTTTGAACATGGACACAATATCTTGACCGTATTTTGAAAACAAAAACATTATATAAATGCATAATATATAAAATGTCGAATTATTTCAGGAATAGGCGGTCCCCTCACCCGCAAACTGGATAAAACCGTAACAAAAATTTTAACCCTTTTCCATGGAACAATTAGTTAATTACATAAAGAATTCAGTTAATCTAGTTGAAAAACTAAGGGAAAGAAATATGACTGAAAAACTCATGCCTAGTCTAGATATAAAATCAGATATCACTATCGTCCTGATTTAAACGTGCTTAAATATCTTAAATGAGAATCTGACACAATCAAAAATAAAACTGTCCTTAGAAATAGCTAAAATAATAATTTTAAAAAAAAATGCAGTCTCATCGCCAACCAATGCTATTCCACATTTTATAATTTTTATAAAGAAAAATTTGGATTACCAATGGGATCGCCTCTCAGTGTAGTGATGGCATGTATTTTCTTAGAATTTCTCGAATCTGGTTCTTTCCAAAATATTTTACCTAAACAATCAACATACTTGATGATACTCTATTAATATATCTCCGTGATACTGATTTATCTGATCTTGTAGATAAACTAAACAAAGTCGTACACACAACAGAATTCACATGCGAAATGGAAGAAAACAATACTTTACCTTTCATAGATATCATGCTACACCGAGTTGACAGCAGCCTAAAACTTAGTGTCCACCGAAAATCAATTAATAAAAATGATATCGTAAATTTCTATTTCCATCATAACAGCAAAATAAAATCCGGAATAATCCGCGGATTCTACTTAAGAGCACTTAGAATTTTTAGCCCTCATTATTTACAGGAAGAGGAGAAATATATTAAAAATACTTTCAAGACACACCTATTCCCTATTTCATATTTAATGTGAAGCAAAAGGCTCATAAAATATTTCAAAATAGAAAACCGCACCTCCTGACAAAAACAATGAATCAAAAACTATATCATTTTTACCCACTAACTCTATCACAACCATA